CCCATTTAAATTTGAAGAAAATATTCCACCTCTAAGGGTGGCAAACTGGGGAATGAATCCGGTTTCGCGCACTTTCCGGTAACCAATTTCAATAAAGTTTGGTGGTAAATATGTGTACTTCCATGAACTTTTGAGGTCGGTTTTTTTAATAAAAAAGTATTTATTTATTTATTAATTATACGGACAATAAAACAGATAATAATCAAATTACATTGAAAAGAGTTAAACATAAGTTCTGTACTAGATTGTAACCCTACTTATGTACACATCATTATAAAGTAACAAGAAAGATCACACAATTTCTGTTCACAATTTCTTAATAACTTACTTACTTAATTAATATACCCACTAATTTACTAAATGCAAAAACGAAATGGGTTTGGGTGAATAATGTAAGTGTTAGGCGAGTTACTACTCCTTTAAATACCTATTCTGTTGAGTCAAAAATATCCAAACCAGAGGTTTTCACACATATTTCGTTGTAAAGCCGACACATTCTTATCAGGGGATTATAAAAGAAAGTGTTATTCTTCGTCTAGCTAGGTATTCGAGGATTACGCCTTATGCAGATATTTATTTTACTTAAAAGGCAAGAAGAGTCAGTCTCGCCATCCATCTATCTATCCTCCGCTATCTATCTACCAATACATTTAGTTCTCCTCATATGTGCATTGACTTTTACCCACCATTATAACTCACATACGTCTTACTGCAGAGAAATGTTCTCGACGTTCTATGCAGTCAAAAGCCCTAATACTAAAGTTTCTGCCGGCTACGACCGTTTTAATCGTATGTGCTGTTACGGCTACGTATGACCTTCAAGAACTGTTAAACTGCATGGTTCGCCTCACGTAATCGATTTAATTCGGGCATCGTTACACTCATGTTACACTGTTTTGTAAAAGTACTGTACTATACTGTACTCGTTGCGTGACTTAGGTACGCCAAACGCAATTTTTTTTTATTGCACCGAGGGGCAGCTCAGATATGACGGAAGGAATTTATTACACAATTAAAAGAGGACAATTCTATTCTTCGTCAAAATTTAAAATTTTGCGCACACATATCTCGTGTTGAGTGTGTGCGTGTGCGTTTTTATATTCCAATATCAATAATGCTCAGTGACCTCAATAGAGTTTCCCAGCAGGTGGGTCTAAAAATGAACATGGACAAGACGAAACTTATGTCCAATGTCCATGTCGTACCCAACCCTATGACAGTGGGAACCTCTACTCTCGAAGTTGTTGACCGCAATACCGTAGTCCTTGAAGACAAAAGTCTTCGAGCAGAGCGTGCCAGCGATGCTCTGAGACGTGGTCACTTACTATGGGCCTCAAAGTGACTCAACGAGCTATGGAGCAAGCAATGTTCGACATTTCTCTACGTGATCGAATCAGAAATGAGGAGATACGTAGAAAAACGAAAGTCACCAACTTAGCTCAAAGGATTAGCAAGTTAAAGAGGCAGTGGGCAGGGCATGTAACTCGTAGAACTGACGGCCGTTGGGGCAGAAAGGTCCTCGAATGGAGATCATGAACCGGAAGGCGTTCAGCGGGACAGCCCCCTACTAGATGGACAGATGAACAGGTAAGAGAGGCGGGTAACCGATGGATGCACGTCGCGTCCGATCGGCTAGTCTGGAAATATTTGGGGGAGGCCTATGTTCAGCAGTGAACGTCTTCCAGCTGATATGATGTTGATGATCGTTAATAAAAGTTTATAACTTACTAACTTCACGTACGTTGTTTAATATTACGATTGAGTGCACTAATTTTAGGTATTGTGATTACCAGCTCACATTACAAGGGAAAGACACTATCCGTTAAATGTTTCTTAAAGAGGAAAAATTCGCTACGAACACATTCTGAGGCACGGTTGTGTGTTTAAGTAAATACGTGGGTAAATACCTATTAAATGAATAGACTCGTTGACCATTGAACAGCGACCATCTCACGGTCGCAGTTGCAGCTATAGTGCGATAATGAGCAAAATGTCCACAATTCGCACGAAAACCGCTAAGCGCCATTTTTCTGTAATAGCAGTAACAATTGAATATTTATTGTCAGCGCTAACGATAATTTATTTGAGATACGCGGACGACAGTCCACGTAATTATTATTATAAAATAGGCAATAAATATGCATAATTAACATAAGAAATAAATGAAATTTCCCAATTTTCTGTATTCAAATCCCAGGTTTTGCTTACGAATATCGGTTTGCGGGTAAAGTACGGTCATTTTTGAGTTACATATCGGGTTCTTGGTGTAGTAAGGCCACATCTGCAAAATTATTACTTTTCAGGACATATATTTTAAGATTATACGAACGAAATTAGTCGATAACTTCTAAATAAATAGGACATATAAATAGAGGAGACCTTAAATAGGAGAGTTATAAAATTTCACATGTACATAATTTCATGTTGTTTGTATTATTTGTATGGTTTTCGTAATAAAAACTCATCTGATGTATGATCACATGGCTTTATTATACCAAGAGTACGATATATATTTGGAATGATTAAATTCAAAAATTAATCTCAAGACACTTTTCCTGTGATTGTACTTTAATACAATAAAGGCTGCTCCATCACTCTTGTGTTCAAGTAATTTTCTGTCTTACCTAAATATGGTGCATTTTGTTAAGTTTCTAGTAGACACTGAATATGGTGTTTTTGGGCCCTTAAATTGTTGCCAGCAAAATTAGGCAGTGCAATGAAATGTTTTAGTTTTTAACCGACTTCAAAAAAGGAGGAAGTTCTCAATTCGACAGTATGTTTTTTTATGTATGTTACGCGATAACTCCGGTATTTGTGAACCGATTTTCATGATTCTTTTTTGTTGGAAAGGGGGTACTTCCATAGTAGTCCCATTTCATTTTGAAGGAAATCATCTACCTCTAAGGGTGGCTGTTCACGTATGAAGATTCATTTTTATAAATAGCGCCTAAATTTTCTTAAGGAGCAATTATTTTAATGGTTGATTTTGCTATTTCTCCAATTCATGGCGTTTTTCTCTCAATATTCTTTGAGTAGTGAGAACCGATTTTTATTATCTCCAGTGTCAAGTCCTGTATAGTGGCGAATTTAAGGATATTTCAATAAAGCTTAGCAAATAGACGTAATTCCACGTACTTTTGAGGCCGGTTTTTTTAGTACTCTGTACTGAGATTATATTTTTTTTATATTTCGTCACATGTCACTACGTTTGTTATATTAATTTAAGACATTTTTTTCGTGGTTTTTGTATTAGACTCCATCCGCTTAGATTAGACCCAATAGACCCGACGTCCATTTGTTGGTAGGTCAATAACAACTAAGAATACATTCGATTAAAAGTAAATTTTGCATAGGAAAGACCTACAATAAGGTTTTATTCCAAAGGCGTTATTCTTTTGATTTTGTGTTGTTCGCAAAAATAAAAATATATCTCTGTAACAGTAACAGTTGTTTGTGGAAGTATAAATTGGTACGGTTCACCCCGTTTGACACGCAATTAGTGCGGTTTTATGGCCTGTTTACAAAGCTGTGTTGTTTACCGGAATCACCGGTTAATACGTGCTTTATTTTGACCTAAGCATGGCCTAGTTTTTTGCCGACAGCTATCAAGATACGAACACAGTAAGTAATTTTAAGATAGTGCTGAGAAAATTATAAGTACTTATATATTTTGACATAAAATTGTAGGAGATACAATTTTAAGCCAGCTCGCAATATCTAGGATTATATTATAAAATATATCCATTACAAAATTTATTTTATAGTATTTTGTATACCGTCTTTCTAAAATATCAACAGCATATTAGATATTTTAGAAACATAAAACGCCTAGTTTACTTTTCTTTGTTTATATGAGGCAGAGAAAAGTGAACTAGGCGTTTTTTACTTCATTATTGAAGTCGTCTTATTTTGTAGGGTAACTTTTTATCTACAAAGTTTACTAAAATATAAGTTTTTACAAATGCTATAGTGTAGTGCCATTTCGCGCAAATTTACTCCCTCCGAAGAATACAAAACCGTTATTTACCGGATACTTAAAATTCAATTATACGAAATCTGTATACTCTAAAAGTTGAAGCCGTAGGGTGAGGATGAGTAATACATTTCCGTTTTTTGTATGACACCAAGTGACGGCACGTACATGTCGTGCGTCCGGTGGTAAGCGACATGCCTGTTCATAACTGTTCCAGTGCCACTCAGAGCCTTAAATCACACAGATGAGAGAGGCACTGCCACTGTATTTGTCATCTTGAGAGACAAGTCCCATGTGCCTGTAATTTCACCAGCACCCTTACCCTTCAAAACCGGAACGCAGTAATGCTCACCTGACTGCTTGGCGACAGAAATATGTAAAGTGACCGTACTTCCCAGGACGAACTCTTAGTGCTCCTAACAGGGTGCTTTTGTTATTTTTGATTTAGACTTATAAGGACGTCCTTAATTTTGTTATAATTTATATTTAAAATACTTATTGTAAATATGTATAATAATCAAAGTGAAAAATGTTAAATTCAATTTTGAATTTTAAAATGGGATAGGCGGTATTTCCTGGCAATGATACAGTCGACCAGAGTCAAGGACTCAGGTTCATGAACCGACGACCGATGCGAGCCTTATCTGCCGGAACCGATATGCCACAGAAATCTATATGCGTCAAGTTGTCAGCAAGGCTAGCTGGAATTAACCCACTTGCGGACAAAACATTTATTATTATTGTTATATTTGTCTAAGTGAGACAAGTGGTTTTGCTGGCCATTGCAATTTTTCTTTAATGGATCTCTTTGTTGAAAATCTCTAAGAACAACCGTTGAAATGAAATTTAAATTTGAGTGTTACTTTTATAAAAATATTTTAACAAGCGAAAACTACTTTATTTTGAGTTTTGTATTATTATTTTGGTTTTAATGTTATTTATTTGTATTTTTATGAAAAATCCTGTGTAATGTAATCGTCATTAACTCAAAACAATATCATATACTTAATTTATAAGGAACAAAAGTCAAAAGAGCTATTCTCAAGTAAGTACTCTTTTGTATCTTTTTATATTTGCAGTATGTAAATGGTATGATATATTTTATAACTCTAGCACGAAATTTATACAAAATACTATGTACTAAGTAACTATGTACTCCTTTGATTGCGGCTGGATTATCTCACAGTGTTATATGTTATTCATGCATGATTCCAGTATTTGCAATGCATGCTTTCCGCGAATCCGAGAACTACCACGCGCTCCACGCGCACATGATTACGACTAAGTCCAGCACTCACGAAGGTGGCGATTTGGAATCATGGCGGCGTGCTTGTGGCTGCCTTAAGACAAGTGAAAAGCTGCGACGGATCATCAACTCCTTTCCCTCGCCGCCGCCGCCTACACCCAAAGAGTCTCCCTTTTTTAATAATCCTGTAAATACTATATCCTATCTTATTATGCGCGACCATACGATGACACGGCATAGTATGCTAAAGTGTCTTTTCGGAATGTAATATTTAAATATAATACGGACTTTTGTATACCACACGATACCATTGACTTTACCAACTTCAATGTACCTATCTATAGATCCTCAAGATCTATCAAGATATCCTATATTAAAAATTATGCACTCATTGAAAGTAAGTTCGCGTTAAAGTCTTTACTATGCAGAAACATAACTTAGCATACCAAAGACATGAACGCGCTTCTGAAAAGAATATGGTGTTTTATGCTACTTGATTAGCACTTGTGGAGATTTGTAATTAGCACTTTCACTTGTTACTTAAAATATATTTATTGTCAAAAAATTTGCTGTACATCTTCCGAAAATAAATAAATATATTTCCGTCGCCGAGTAAAAGCCTAATAACTAAAGGCTGTTACCATTTGGTTTTGGAACTTTAGTAAAACAAACGTTATAGATATACGATGGCTAATGATAGTATATTATGAAGTAATGTAAATAATTTCAGCAAAGTGAGTCGAGTTCAAAGATATACATGTCTCATTGCATGCCTCATTGCTTGCATCTACAAACCCAATCTGGGCCATTGTATGAGTCGTCAAGTGCTCAACCTTTGCCGCCAACACGTGATGCCCAGTCTATTAAAGAGGAATGCGTTCCGGAAGAGAAAAAGGACGTTAGTATACTTTCGTTTTTTATTAAGTTGAATGCTGATAAACAAAAACGTCTCAACCAATTTAATCACAGTTTTGCGAAAATGGCACTTAAAGATTTTTCTTTGTTTTTGATAGTTTTTCTAAAATTTACTTATGAAATGAAAACTTTTGCTTTTCACTCATGCAGAGTGTCGGAGCATCAAGTGTATAAGGAACGTAATTCTCTTATTGCCACCCACCGTTCTAAGAATAATAAACAATATTAAGCTTTTTCTTTCTTTTTTATAAATATAGTTTAAATATTAAGCAATTTTTGTAAAATTACATAAGGTTTGAAAGCAAGCGGCGTTATAATTACGAAATAAATCCCAGGTATTAAAGGCAAGAGCAATCGTGGCAAATGATTGTAGATTTTGTCGTGTTCCGACCTACCCTTGGCGGAGTGGAGTCTTGAGCTATTGTCTAATTGGTGGGTAGGTGATAGTATCGGCGGGTTTCCTGGTGTCGTGACGTGGGGGCGGCGGGTCGTGCGCCCCCACGCTGCTCCCTATCGGACATCGCCCCGCGCTTCTGCCGATATGGGCTGTCGTTACTGAGGAATGTCAAGTCTTGTTACCGACTTCAGTGCTTAAGGAACGGTGAGAAAGCCTAACAAGACAGTCACGTAACACTCGCTTAAATCTTACTGTTATATGGTGTAAGAAATTGATTTTGTTATGGCGAAAGGTTCTTCGGATTAGAGGAAATTGAGACAGTGTGCCGTTCCCTGCGGTCTTTAATCAAAGACGGGTCAATAATATTCCTGAAGCAAAATGATTCTAAAAAATTAATAAAATTGGAAAAATAAAAGCAGCGTGACCATTTCCAACTTTCTTATAGGACATAGGTCATCCGTGCAAATAAAAACTAGCGTAGATTTACAAGGGTGCGATAGCAGTATAAGCATGCCGATCCTATGGCGAGAGATGCGGTAATGGACGCTCGTGCGGCGATAATATCGCGACAGTCGTGACGCGCGGCGCCGACGCCTGCGACAATAGTTCCCAGCTAGCGAACGCTCTTCGTGCCTACGCAATGGCTCTGGAATTTTTCATAGATGACCTGATATGACGATTAAACACAATACAGATGTTACGTTTTAGGCATACCCGAGACTGTTCTTTGTAAAAAATATGTTTTGCGAAAGCAATATATGGTTTAATTTTTATTCGGATAATTGTAATAACCCTTAACATAGCCCCGCACTAAACTTAATTAAAAACTCTAGGAACTCTATACCTGGCTGAAACAGTATTATAATAGCTACAGCATTTGCTACTATTTATTTATAATGTATTTACAGCTAACGTTGAAATAACATAATAATAATAACGCACACACTCAACATAGCCCCGCACTAGGGAAACCCTGTGTCGCGGGTGCCATGGACACACACATAGACAACCACAAATTACACCCAAACTCACGAGATAAATAACTGTAGGCCATACAAATATTTCTCCCGGCCCAGGAATCGAACCCGGGGACCTCTGCGTGGCAGTACGGTATGGTAACCGTTCGGCCACGGAGGCAGTTAAAAATAAAATAATTTCCAATAAAATAAATAATTTCCAATAAAATAAATTTAATTGATTTTTAATAAATTATTCACAAAAAATAATTGAATATCAATTCAATCAAAATTTAATTAAAATAAATAATTTCCAATAAAATAAATAATTTCCAATAAAATAAATTTAATTTATTTTCAATAAAATAAAAAATCGCCGAACTGCCACGTAAAGGTTCCATTTTCGATTCCCGGGCCGGGATAAATATTTGTATGGCCTACATTTATTTCTACCGTGAGTTTGGGTGTAATTTGTGGTTATCTATGTGTGTGTCCATGGCACCCGCGACCCAGGGTTTCCCTAGTGCGGGGCTATGTTGAGTGTGTGCGTGTGTGTGTGCGTTAATTTGTATGTACAGTCTTTGTTTCGCGATAACAATAAGTTGGTAGCATTTTTAACTATTCGTATATATTCGGCGGATGGACTATCGCGTATCGTGAAGGCTCTATGCTTATAAAGTAGATATCGCGGATAGCGAATTGTTTGATGATACTATCCGTATTTTTTATTATATTTTTATTTGTTATTTAATTTAAATTTATTTAATGTTTTTCTGCCATGATTTTCATATATTTGTTGTGAAAATATTCCACTAGTTTGTTATTATTATTGGTACAAAGATCAAACAATTCGCTAGAACAAACACGAATAAGAAATTCCTTCGGTCCGACTGGTAACCACGCATTGGTAGACACGATGAAGCAACACTAGTTCGAGTTTGCTGTGCTGGTCAAAATCTAAGTCTGTAATTTTGAAGATGAACGGCTCTCGGAGCTTGATCTTAAGTGTAACGAACTGAATTGAAAGCCCAACCATCTACGGTAATCAGTTAAAATTTTGAAAAGGATACCCTTTGCTTTTCCGTTCACATGCCCGCAGTCCGCGAGGATCTTTGCACAAACCATGTGCGAACCCACCAACGCCACCAACATTGGAACTGAAGTGGTTGCCTTAGTCGGCTGGGACATATGGAAGTCTAGGGGTAAACATAATTGTTACAAAGTTTTATGACATGGTTGTGTAACCAAGATTATCGTTATTGTTCTTCTGTGCTTTGACGGCACAGTATATTTGCTTCTTCCATTCATCTTTTCATCTCATGATATAGCACTTAAAAAAAATCACATCGTCTAATGATCGGCTGACGATTAACAAATTGGAACCTTCACTAATGAGGTTGCAGTAATCTTTTGTTAAATGTTTTAATTAAGGTAAGTATAATAAGATAAGAATCTCTCGGTCAAGAGTACAATTAATGTTCGTATAATCAGGTTATTTTGTTAATGTGTTAATTTGCTAGTCGTCAACATTTCGCTTGATAGTTGCGCTAATTACCTTATAACTTTTTTTATTAATTTTTAGGTATATTGACCTCTATAAGCATTATAATAGGGGTAATTATTATGCTTACAATTTAAAAGGGTAATTTTCAGGTTAGTTTTCTCCACCTAATTTCAGCGGCAACTTTTATTATTTAAATATCGTAGCATATTATCATGAAACATATTTTCATATTCCAGTGTAGTAAACTGAATTATGATTTCATTCTTCACTATATTATACTCGAATAACAAAAATTGACATTGAAATTAGGTAGAGAAAACTAATCTAAAAATTACCCAAAAATTGGGTCATAAAAAACAATAGAGTATTCTGGCAGCGGGCAATGTTTCCCTAAATATTAAATAAAGTGCAACTTAAATAGGGGATATTTTTTTAAATCAAACTCAATATTTATTTCGTAGCTAAGCCAATTACACTTGAAATCGTCATATTGACTAAACTCGTAAAGCAGATTCCTTTGAAAAGAACGAGTAAGAAACTGTTGGGGTTGCCTTTTGTAAACAAACATTAGTGTATATTTATTATATACAACATTTATTTTAAATATGATAGATCAAGACAACCTGCAAGAGCTAAAAAGGTCACTAACATGGATTTTGTCATCCAAGTACACAGAAGCTGTTTAATAAACTTCAGTGTACAGTTTTCATTTCACTATAGTTTTAATCTTCATAAATTGCGAATTTTTAATATCAACCAACACTTATTACAGAACCGTTGAAACATAATAAAAAAACGTTGCGCTTTTCACTTCCTCTTGGACCGCAGATCGCCTTTATCGCTCTTATTATATGATTATTAAGCTTTTGTAGTATAAGACTCCGTGTCAAGAAGTGCGGAGACACCCTAATTGTGATAACTAACTTTAGGCAGTTTTTCAGAACTACGTGTTTATTTTCGTTTAACATTTCACATCTTCGACTGTATCTCATCTTATCTTAAATTTGTTCTATCAAAGAGGTTATATTCGTATATTAAAAATTAGTACGATGTTTAAAGTGCGATGATTTGTCGAGAATATTTGCTTATGAAAACCGAGTAGGATCGTTTGATTCAGTTAGCAAAAATAACAAATACCGATGGTTAGTGGGGGAGAGGCGATTATTGACAAGTCTGTCTTCTAATAGGACGAGTAGAAACTACGCAATCATGTGTGCTATTTTTTGTTACAAGATTTTACATTTAAAATAGCATTTTCTGATGTAGCAGGTGGAGTCGCAGTGCCGCGCGTGGCGGATTCTTGTGGAGATAACGTCCCTTATACAGCTGTCAGTAACGGCCACAGCGCTGGCTCTCTACTACTTTATCTACTGCTACATGCAGCTTGTGTACTTTACGCTTCGCTCCGCACTCTACTTCCACCATGCTGATGGGTAAATATAAACCCTTTCTTCTACTGCTTAGTTGCCAATAATAAACAATACTATCATTTCTGCCCATGGGTTCCAAAAATCGAAAAGGGATTTATCTACATAGGGGTTAGGCAGAGGCGTTTCTCTTTACTTACTTATTTTTTTATTAAAAAAATGTATATTTTTCTAAGCTAATTAGTGGCGATTTTATTGACGACTTATAACAAGAAATTATAATTAGAAATGTGCCAAACAACCGTTTTAATCACCTGGACTTAAACTAGGGACTTCGTTGTACTACGAGTGCAAGAAAATTAAAGCACAATTATAAAACGAACTTTAATTTCGACTAAGAAAGAATGTCGAGTTAAGCAAGTTTTCTGGATTTACAAAAAGAACTTTAAGCTAGTTTTCTAAGCTAGTAACCTAAGTTTAAACACGAAATTAAATTAAACTTTTAATTTACTTTGAAATTTCTTGCTTAAATTTAAGCAATTTTTTATCTCGTATGGCGTAGAATACCCAGACGAAACAGTTAATTTCTCATATTGATCAATTTGAGAAATACTGTGAATCCAATCTGCGACGTTCTCATTTAGCATCCACTAGATCATCAAGATAATCAAATAAAGGGATAATTACGAAGTTCCTACAGTGGGTAATTTTTCTGCAGCCACATTTTTGAATTTGAAGTATTTTAGTTCTCTACCTAATGCTCTTTATGGAATGCAAGTAAATAAATAGCTAAGGTGTTAACGCAATACAATGCGGCGGAACTCTGCGGAATGTCACACGTTAGGCGTGGCGGATGGCATAAACTCCACTGCGGCTGGTTTCCTTGATGGCGGTCGGCGACGGGTGATGGATGCCGTACAATATTGTTTTCGAATTACCAGATCGCTGAGAATTACTTAAAATTGTGTTCTTATGACGAATTGTATGTACGTAATGACTTCCGTAACTTTTCAATCCTTCCTTTCATCCTTTACGTTCCTTTGTCATCAAAGACTATTGTGAGCCTTTCAACTACGCATTTGTTTAGTTTTATACAGTTCAGTCACCTAATGTGTTTTTAACAGGCCAATGAAGATTACCATCGCGGTGGTTACAGTGACTTCTGTGGTGGTCGGCTCCAACTTGCTTCTGAGGTTGGAAAGGATCTTAGGATACATACCTGAATCCAAAATTGATACATACACTGTAGGTTACGATCCTAGTGTCTAGCATGTGCATTGTAGATGAATATTAAAGTATGCGGTCGGCATTTAAGTGATCGATTTTTTTAATATTACGTAAATTTATTATCATTTGAAATTGATTGTTGCAAAATAGTAAACTGCAACGGTAGTTATCAGCTTTTGCGTTATATTTATTGTCATGTCCTAAAATAAAAAAAATTGTAAACCCTCACCGGAAAAATTCATGAATAGAAATTGTAAATACGTAATATACGTGTATAAAAAAGTATGCGTTACACATTTCTTCCATCATTCTATTTACCATTACCTGGTTAGATAGAGTAGAATAAGAACTTAATGCGATAAGTCTACGCAAATTTTTTTGCGACCTCAAAAACTACTTCCGATCAACAAAGAGATATTTGGACGTTTGAAAATTCAGTTGTTTGAATGCGAAAGGCACAATTTTCGGAAATCGTTTAGAGTTCATTAGCCGTCACATAAAGCGGATTGAGCGTGACGACCGCTCGCACCTGGAGTTTTCTTTTCCCCAATGGTTTGGGAAGTGATTACCGCGTTGGCCCCCCTTAGTCACCAGGTTAAAGCATTTCGCGGATGAGGACACACAGTGGAGGCTGAGTTGTGCAGACACCACTCTGAGACCAACCGTCGAGGGCTGCGCGCGTTTGCCACTCACTAGCCGCCACTGCGTCTAAAGCGCGAACTTCACGCAAGCTTTCAAGGACACTTTCTGTGACCACTAAACAATACAAGGAGTATCATTATTTTAGACAGCCGATGCAGTGTACAGTGTGCTCATTAAATACAGTAGTTGAATAAAAGTGAACCGCTAAGTGCATCAGTGCAAAATGGTGCTAAATGTGAGGTAAGTGGGGTAGAGAGTATTATTTGTTACTTTTTTGCTCTGTCTACTGTATCAGTGTTGAAAATGACTTCAAATTAATAAGAAAAAGTGAGACGGTGAGCATGTATGCAAAATTGGTTCCAAGTTCTACATAAGTTGTGACATTTGTGTCCATTTTGTTTCCTTTATTAGTAGAAACATAAAAGAATAATGTTGCTGTTATGGTGAAATAAATAGCAAATAAACTCCGTGAAACTGTATACTAAAAAAAATGAAAAAAAAAAAATTCGTGACATTTTTTTTCAATTATTCATGTGAAAAAGTCTCGCATCTTTCGTGGGCTGTATATCGATAAGATAAAGATACTGTATGTTGTACGTACATATGACTAAATGCAAGATACAGAATGAGAATCGACATCAGTGGGATATCATATCCAGGTCAGTGATTATATGAACGATGTTATTATAATTCTAACTTTTTTGACGTTCCTTTAAATATGTCCTTGAGGAGTCATTGAGCATATATGTTTTTGATAGCTAATGGAAATGTTTAACCCAAGATGGTCAAAGCTACAATGTATTAAAACTGTTTTGAGGCTTAACGTACATTATGATAACAGCCTTCTGAAAATTCTAAACATTGTCATAAATTAGTTCCACATTATATTTACAACCAACAACATTATTTATGAACATTAAAAAGCTTTTGTTACAGTTTTGTTTTACAGTTTTCACATGAATTTTATTAAAGCTCTGGTCAATCAAATAATACATTTTTGTAACAAGAAAGTAATTCTGCGAATTGGCATATTAATTCATTTTGAGGAGTTTGGCATAACAAAATTGTTTGTACTAGTTCTATGACCTCGCTTCGGTTAGTTAAAATAAACGGCATCGATTTGAGTGTTGGAAATAATTTGGGCACAGCTGCTGATGGCTTTTCGTTGAATCGTTTCCGAATAAATAAATTGCCGTAGGATATTGGTTCAATGCAGTGCTTTGTTTTTGATTTATATGCGACAGATTTAAAATTTCGCGCCCTAGGGAGTCATTTTTAATGGAATTTAATAAACGAACGAGGTTCTCAATTTGACAGTATTTTTTTGTATATGTGCATTGACTTAAAAATAAATGGACGACGGGTCAAATACAAAAACCACATCTAATTGTATTAATTTCGCTGTAGCTACCTGTAGAGTTTAAAGTGCACTAGAAAGTCAGCGTTATCTCGGGTGTGGCATTAGCTGGGCCTCTTGCGTACACTACAGCCGCACACATGACACTTACTAACGTACTTCAAATTGTGTTGACTAATTAAAATTTCTGTTTCGATGATTCGATTTTTTTGTTTTACTTTTGCCTTGTTTTTTATTTCTGTGTATGTTTGTGTTGTGGCATTGCAATTAAATGGTTTCTATAATTTTTTTAAATATGCTACGAAAACAATTTAAAAATTTTAGATTGTAATAAACTTTTACGCTTAAACGGTTATTCTTGGGTTAGGCTACTTTCCATGGCAAGTTTTATTATTTAAGTATTCGAACATATTATAGTGAAATATTATTTCATATTCGATTATATTATCGTAATATTATTTAATGTTATTATTTCCTTTATAATGAATGTGCACTACTATTGTGACGAAATTATTTTCATTATATGATAAAACATAACATTATTCCGCCAAAATTGTAAGATTCTTTATGGTAACAAGGAACGAACAAGTCTTGCACCTGGTGGTAGTCGACACGCCTGTGCATAACAGTAAAGATCTGAGGGGCTCTGCCACTGCGCCCGTCACCTTAAGACATAAGTTTACAAATTCCATGTGTCTGTAATTTCACCCTTCAAAATCGAAACACAGTGATGCTGACATTACTGCTTGGCGACAAAAACAGGCAAGGTTGTAGTACTTCCCTGGACGAACTATTTCATAAGGAGATCTACTGCTGCTAAATGAAGTTACGTTTATTTATGCTACAAGGAACAATGGGAGGAAGTGAACAATAATTTGCTGAAGTAATCGTGTCTTATCAGAAAGCTTTTAGACGGATTGTAATTATCAATAGGGTAAATTCAGCATCGTAATTTCGAGTTTTCCAATTTGGAAGGTTCGTTTTATTTTATTAAAAGAAATGAAAGAGAAAACGAAACGAGAAGAACGGAAAGCACCAGTCATGGTGCTTATTTTGGTCCATGTGACGCCAGGTTGACGGGCTGCTTGAGTGAAAACTATTTACAAATTTAAAAATCGGCAGTCTGAGCAATTGAGTCTTAATTCTGATTAAACTGTTATAATCAAGTAAAAAATACTATCTCAAACAGGATACTCAACAGTGATGATTAGTCGACCAATAGTTACATTTGATACAAGATAATAATGTAGCAATATTTGAGGTAAGAGTGATTTTGGCATTATCTAAGCGTGTAACATCCTAGTCCACATGGTAATTTATTATCAAATGACAAACAAATTATTTCTAAATTGTAATAACAAAAACAATTGTTTAAAGTTTTTTTTCCACTCGCAATGCAGTTAACCCCTAACGATCTTATACGTTTCGGCAACTTACCTTGACGGATATGAGGTGCGAATCGCTCTTTGTCACGTGACGCGTAGCGTGTCGTAGCTAACGGTGGTTCCGCGCGTCGCCCGCCACTTACCGTCTTGCACGCCGCAGTGTGAACATACCCTTAGGTCATAGAGCATGTGAATAGTGACATGTTGTACAGATGACAAGATGTAAATACTTTGCTTCCCGCTTAGAAAAGTATGAGAACGAGTCTTGTAAGAAAATTTGTAATAGTACCTATACATACTTTAAAATACTTACGCAGATAGTGCTACAGTATGCACTATAAATGTATAAATGCAATTAATAAATATGAAATTCATTTTTATTATTAAATAAACTTTTAGATTTTGAAAAATCGTGAACCCATAAATAATAACGAAATTCTTAAAATAAAAAGGTTTATTATGATATAAAGGGACGGGACGAACAATATAAAGGAACAGGTGGTGGTAACCGATACGCCTATCCATTACAGTTGCAGTGCCACAAAAAAATAGTATTATATTTAATGTAAATTTTTCAAATTGTAGTTCAATGATAATGACATTTGTTGTGTTTTCATTTACGTTTTTATTTTGATTATAACATTTATGTTGTGTAATTAATTTTTATAGTCCGTTAATTATTTATTTCTTAATGTGTTTCATTAACATTTTTCATTTTATTGCATGTACTAAATGGATTTGATTAGTCCGAAATAAATAATTTGGTTTGATTTGAAAGCTTTAACTTAGAATCTGAAAGAGATGAGGCGCACTACTACTCGTACTACGTTCGTCACCCGGCATTTGACAAGTCCCATGCGCCTGTACTTTAACAGCTTTTCGACTCGTCCGAGGACGCACCGGTCTCACGAATTTAGAAACAAAAATAGGTCTTATTCACATCTTTATGTATCATTCATTACCTCTGCACGGGTTGAAAAACATTGCGAAGTTCACAATCCTAAAAAACTTACGTCTTTATGAGAGTTTAAGTAGTATGCTATTGATATTATGCAATAGGGAAAACAATTCTACATAATTGATATTCTATTACTGTAACTAATAAGAACTGATGATTATCAATTAAAGAGCAGTTAAACTGATATTCTCACCAGCCCCCGGTTTACTTGCACAATAGTAACCACTCTTAGTGTCTGTAATTAATTCATAATCTGTGACACAGCTAGCGCTTTAACGTATTGTGGGTAATCCGATAAAAAATGCGCGGTTCACGCAAAGACTCAGTGAGGTGGTATTTTTTAGATTAGGCCCTAGAAAACCGCCTCCTATTCATGGATGTGTGGGAAATTGTAGCATACCTTTCGTATACATACATTCCAGACTGTCAAAACTTGTGTTTTATAATGCTGCGAGTACGTTAGCTTAAGTGAAGCTGTGTGCGTACAAATGATCTAGTAGCTGTAGAGCTCCTTGTGAAAGAATTCGTCCCGGGAAGTACTGCTATCTTACCTATTTCTGTCGCCAAGCAGCAATACTCACATTACTACGTTTCTGTTTCGAAGGGTGCTGGTGAAATTACAGGCACATGGGACTTGTCAACCTCTTATCTTTGCGATTTAAAGCTCTAAGTGGCAGTGACAACTGCTATGGACAGGCGTGTCCTTTACCACCTGGCGCACGACTTTTTCGCTCCGTCTCTTGGTATCATAAGCGTTCTTAAAGGATTTGCTAATGTTACGAGCTTGCAAAATTATAATATATTGTGACAAGCAATATTAATAAAGTGCATCAGAAAAGAAACCGATTCAATTTTGAAGTTTTCTACGTTCCTACAGTGCATCACTTTTTTTATGTAACTGTGTTCTTTGT